CGGAATCTCATCCAGAAGGTAGACTCCATTCACCTCACGACCACTCCCAATCATCTTCTTTGACTCTAGATCCTGCAAAACACAATTACCAGGAAAAAGGTCACAGAACAATTCAAATTTTTTGTCAAAGAACTAACAGACAGTAAGTTGGTATGAAGTCTAGGGACATGTAAAACAGAGGGCAGAGTTATATCATTGGTCACTCTAACTGTCCCCTTCCCAGCAATAGGTATATGTGAACCATCTACTGTAAAGACTTTGTCTCTACCAAAGCACAACTGATAGGAACTGAAAATGGTAGGGGCATTAGTCATATGCTCAGATGCTCCTGAGTCTATAATCCAAGGAGGTCCCTCCTTACCTAAAGTGGATGCAAGATTTGCAATTGCATATGGACTACCTGTATGTGCAAAGGAAGTGGTGTAGTTGGCTCCTGCATTCTACTGTCCATCTGGAAGGCTAGRGCTDGGTGAATCTTTCTTACTCATAAGCTGTCCAAACCTCTCCAATTCTGTTCTCACTGCTGCTACTGCAATGGATTCCCAATCAGTTTGGGAGAGAGGGGCTGAAGAGTCTCCTGTAGTGGCTACATTTGCATTTCCCTTCTTGTTTCTTATCCGAGCAAGCATAAGATTTGGATGAAGCTTCCAACAAGTGTCCCTAGTATGCTTAGGCTTCTTGCAATAATCACACACCAAGTCCTTCTTATCTTCCCTTCTAGTCTCATTACTCCCCCTGTCTCCATTCGGCTTAGGTTTTGTTGTACCAACCATGGCCGACTAGTCAGTCTCATGCTGTCTCAGCATTACATTCCTCCTACTCTCCTCTCCAGAGACAAAAGCATAGGCCTGAGAGAGTGTCACACCCTCTCTAGAAAGAATATGTTGCCTAGCAATGTCAAATTCAGGGTTCAATCCTGCCAAGAACTCAAAAACCCTATTCCTCTCTACCAGTTTGTGATAAGTTGCTGCATCATTTACACTTTCCCATACCATAGTTTCTAAGTGATCTATTTCCTGCCATAGGTTTTTCAGCATGGAGAAATACACAGCAAGAGGTTTTTCCCCTTGTTTCAAACTTATAACCTGATTTCTTAACTGATAGGCTCTGGCTTCATTTTGCTTCTGAGAGTAGGTTTCAGTCACTCCATCCCAAATCTCCTTGGCAATATTAGCCCATAGGAAATTTTTTGCAATATGAGGTAACATAGAATTACACAGCCAGGACATTACCATGTAATTCTCTAGCACCCATCGAGAAGAGTCTTATCAAGTTTCTTCTCCTCCCCGGTGAGAAACCCTAATTTTCCACGGGCACCAATAGCCATCTTAGCTGATTGTGCCCACTCCAAATAATTCGTCCCATCAAATTTTACTGTAGTTATGATCCCAAACCCAAAAAAAATCACTACTACCTCCAACACCCAGTTCCACAGTACCAGTAGGTTTCATCTCGGTATTCCAACTCTCCATTTACGTCAAAAATAGATTGGAGGCCTTCAAAAAATAATTTAATACCACACACGCAAAGACCAACCCTTCCAGAAGAAGAAAACCCTAGCTGGAGGGAAATATCTCTCCTCCCCACGCCTCCCACCAGAGAGAAAAGGGAATCTTTCACTCTGGAAGGCCTAGAAAAATGCAGAAACCAAACCGCCCTCTTCAGAAAATCAAAAGAAAACTAACAATACCTGGGCGCCAAAGATCATATCAAAAACTAAGAGTCCAACTTTTCTGGGACTCTTCCTCGTACTCCAGTTCTTCCTGATTTTGATGTCGGACAGTAAATCACCTTCCTGATGTCTCGATCCCACCAAAAACTCCAAGAACTGGGCAATCTATATTAGATCGATCAGCCCTTTACTTCTTCATGCAATCGGCTGATCTAGGGTTGCATGAGAATGCTTCAAGAAACCATAGCTACTGCTCCAATACCAAGTAGAAATCTGTTGAATTAAAAAATATGAAAGAAAGTAGTTTCTTGAAGAGAGAAGGAAGAGATAGGGAGAAGAAGAGAAGAAGAGAGTTTGAAAGAGAAGAGAGCAATAATTCTGGCCACCCCCCTCACTTATTAAATATACTAAAATAATAGAACAGCACAAAGACAACTATGCCCTCATAGGGCGGCAAAATATAAAACAGCATATGTAACCTTCAAAAAACATAATAAAATTTGGACTCACATAACTGYTGTGGTCCCYACCTCCTATCTAACAACTAACATAAACATCTACTTAGAAAAACATCATAAAACTATTTAATCTTCAACAAATACGCTTTGGAAACACATGGATACGAATGAAAAATATGAAAACAGATGGGTACGTTAGGGAAATACATACAAATTCCACAAATACATTAATAACACCAAATTTAAGACCAAAATAGTCGCAAATAGTATATAAATACATAAGAAGTGTGTATTTCAATGGTGTATTAGTGTATATGAAAAATATATTGGGATGCCTAGATATCATATAATTTTATTTATAATGCATCAATCAAGAGTCCAAGACACTAAACAGATGTGCATATTATATTTTGATTATTATATCAGTTATTTTTTTATTTTACTATTTTAATTTTTTAACATTAACAAAAAATCAACTAAATATTAAATTCTCAAATGCAAATTAAAATACCAATTAATAATTCACAAAAATATAATATTAACTTAAAGTATATCAAATTTATTAAAATTTCTAAGATACATATCCTATACAAATTCATAATTTTTAATTAGTAAAATAATTATTCCATTGTTAATATTTTTATTTCTATAAATATTTCGAAATAAAAAATCATTTTTTAAAATAAGTGTAGATTAGTGGATTTGATAGATTCAATTTAATATTATATTCTTCAATATTTTGTAAACAATATTTTTATTTTTTATAAATAATAAATATGTTGTTATTACTTATTAATGTAAATTAAAATATTAACTAATAATTTGTAAAAATATATAAAAATGTAAGGTGCATATCATGTGCAATTTAAATATTAAAATAATTATTTTATTATTAATATTTTATTTGTATAATTTTATTGATATTAAAAATCATCTTTTTATATAAATATGGACTTGATAGATTATTTGTTCTATTAATTTATAAAATACTAATTTTGAATATTATTGTTTGGAATAGTTAGAATTGTTAAATATAAACATGTGTTTTTTGTTTAAATTGTATGTCAACACAAACAAGTAATAAAACTTATTTTATTCTATTTAACATTGCAAGATGAAGCCCGGCTTGATGGTTTAGAATGTAGCGAAAGATAGGCGCATCCAAATGGCCTGGGTTCGAATCGTCATAGGTGCATTTTTATGAAGTATTGAGAAACGCAGTGTTTCACGCGTATAACCCCGTACTGGTGCATATCGACCAATACAATACGATACAGGCCGATACACATCTGTATCGGTGCAAACAACTTACTGAAAACGCTTCTATTCGTAGCGTATCTCGTACTGCTGTCAATCAATACCGATACAATGCGCTCGATATGGGTCGTACGTGTCGATATTTAAATCCTTGTTCTACACATGTACTCTAACAAACCTTAATTTAGTTTAGAGTATATACTACATAAAGTTTGAGGTATATCTTCATATTCAGCTAAGTCACCTAGCATATAAGCAAAAAATAATGGCAGCCCCACTTAAAAGCATCCAAAAAAAAGAATTCAGGAAAATATTGGAAGAGAACCCTAGCTAATGAGCTCTTAACTTACTCAGTGTAACACGCTTTGCATGAATTGCACAAAGCATTGCATCTTCAAACAAATGAACCAAGTAATCTTCAGCTGCCTACAAAAAATAGATCACCAATCACTATAATAAGCCCAATATAAATCTGTGAAGATTCATAATAAGTTGGAATATTTTCACCAATATCTAAGATCTAAATAATAATGCCAATGCAAAAGTTATCTAATAGATAGAACCAAGGAGATTGTAGATGATTAGGACTTAATGTAATGCTACCAAAAGTACCTTTGAGAGTAGGGCATTCTAAGAAGTGCTACTTGATTAATTGGAATACTTACTACAAAAGGAAGAAGGAAGGGGGATTGGGATTAGGGAGCCTAACTCTACGAACATTTCTTTGTTAGGTAACTGGTTATGGTGTTTCACATTGGATTCAAACAAACTATGGCATATGGTGATTAAAAGCATCCATTGGTTTCAAGGTAAGGATGGCATACTGGCTTAGCTACTAAATCCTCCTTGGACTCCTCTTTTTTTTTTTTTTGATAAATAACTAGAAACTTGAATTATTTAGGAAAATTAGTAGTATTACAAGCTCACAGTCCAAGCCAAACCCACATAACAGTTAAGAGTACAAGTTGGCCCAAAATAGTTGCTCCCTAGTCACCCCTTGCTTTGCTAAGGTGTCTGCCAAAGCATTTGCTGACCCATTAACCTACTTGAAAGTAGCCTCAACCTCACCTTCTAACCTCCTTATTTCCCTTGTTACCTGCCTGAATGCCCACAAACCATCCCTTTTGTTTACCATCCAAGCCGCTAGGTCACTACCAATAAAGAGTCACCCTCCATCTCAATTTGATTCAGATTCAGTTGCCTTGCTAGCTTTAAACGAAACAGTTATCCCAATGGGGCCAGAGTAAAGTACCATAATCACTCCCCCACCATCTCTAAATACTCCCCTTATACCCAAGGGGCCAGGGTTACCAATAAGACCTTCCATCAAAGTTCATTCTGATCCTCTTGTAACTAGAAGGTACCCCCATCATTGAAGATCTCCATAGTCTTAATCCAATGGATAAGCTTCAATTGAATTCCTTCAATTAGATGACTCACCAAGTTATGTTGTCCCTTGAACACTCTATTGTTCCTTACTTCCCATAACAACCATAAGATAGCCACTCCCGTAGCTATCCACATGATCTTTCCTCTTCTTTTGGCCAAGGGAGAAAACCCGAGAATTAACAACTACTAGAAGTGGCACCCATCTGCAACCAAAGAGAGAAAGAGAGAGATATGGGGGTGGGGGAAGGCACACATTGGAACTGGCATACACTACACCTCCTTTGCTCCTCCTTGGACTCTCCTTGCAAAGCTATTTTGAGTTAGCTTATGACTTTCCTCCAATTCATTAGGTATGATGTGTGGGAAGAAACAAAACCAGATTTTCGAGACCTTTAGTAGGGAGAATCAACCACTAGTAGATAATTCCCCTAACCTCTATTGAACTACTCAATAGATTTAAACCAGTTTCTCATTGTGCCTCCTTTTCTCCTTCCAGTCGCCTTGGGTTTTGGGTTTGTGGATAGGCTTAAAGGAGCATGAAACTATTGGTTGCAATTGACTTCAATTCCTGGTTAGTATTTTCTGACACCTCTTGAGTAGATAGTGTAGTTTGGATTCTTGACCCTATAGGTAGTTTTTCCTATTCCTCTTTGGCATTTGCTACCACACATTTTTCTTCATTGTAAAGCAAGTAGCAAAAGTACCTCCCATCTACTAGTCTATTCCCCTTTTGTCTTTTCTATTATGGAGTATTTCTTTTCTCTATTTGAGTGCAAGTGATCCCCTCTTTAAATCTCTTGTTTAATTCTTTTTTCTCCCCGCTAAGAAGAGAGGAAAGATATTGTGGAGATGTACAAGGACAGGTATCTTTTAGACAATTTGAAGAAAGGAATGCAAAGATATTCAAAGAAACGAATCAGATCGAGGAAGCATCAATTGAAAACACAAGCATTAATGTCGCTTGTGTTGTGAGGATTATTTAATTGTTATTTTACAGTTGTTGTTAGTGAGCTGTCAGCCAGTTAGTTTCTTTCTTTCTTATTAGCTTGTTACTAAGGAGTGCCACCAGGGGCATACTTGTAATCTCCCATTCCTTTATATTAAGTTAATATAAATAACTAAACTGGCGGCCGCCAGAGAGGTTTTTTGTGTCTCTCAATCACATCTTCCTCTTCTCCTCTTTCCTCTCTTCTCTTCTCTTCTCTCCTCTCTCTCTCTCTCTCTCTCTCTCGTCTCTCTCTCTCTCCATGAATGATTACATGGTATCAGAGCTAGTTTAATCAAGTGGTCTGGTGTTCGATTCTCGTTACCCCCATTATAATTAATTAAGTTTCAGCAGAAGGTATGGGTGGGCCTGTGCTTGTTCACGCTTCAAGCCCAATGGGCTTTCGTGTGAGGGGGCATGTTAGAGAATAAAACCTATTCAAGGACCTCACTTAACAGCTTAAAAATCTGTTTCTCCCATCTGAACCTGCTTAGTCTTCTTTCTTCTTTGATTTCTTGGACGTGGAAGACAGAGAAACCCTAGCAGGCCACTTGTGGCTTTTCCTTTGGGTTCTTCCTTGGTCGTAACATCAAGGAAACCGTAGCAGAAGAAGGGCGATGCAGTAAAGACTCCCTTCCTCATCTGTTTGATGTTGTGAAGTTAATTTCTGGGTTGGCACCTTCGCATAGGTGCTGGACAGGGTATGTGTTCTTGTGTTTTTCTATGGCCAATGGTGTGAAGGCCTTACTTTTTTGCTTTTATACCTTCGTTTAGATGCTGGACTGTTAGATTGCATGTGCTGTAGTCGAACTGCTAGTATACTATTATAACGGCTGGTGCTGGACTGATTACTGGGCTGTTTTAATGGCTGAACCATCACTGAGTTGATTTCAGCAGTTTTGTTTTTTTCCACATTCCAGAAGTAAATTTCTTGGGGGTTGGTATTCTGATTGTGGCTGTTGTGTAGTTGTGTGGGATTTGGTCTGATTCAGCAGTACTCTATGGCAAACTATGATTCAACTTCATCGGGGGTTACACCAACCCGTAGCACAGCTGGTATGGGAAGTGAAAACATGATGTTTCCCATGCCCATTATCCCTTTAAATGGTCTAAACTACCTGGAGTGGGCTAAAAGTGTAAAACTTTATGTAATAGCAAGGCGAAAAGCTGGTTACATAAATGGAAGGGTGAAAGAACCCAAGAGTGAGACAGTTGAACATGATAGGTAGGACCACGAAAATAGTATGGTGATGTCTTGGCTCCTTGCAGCCATGGAACCTGATGTGAAGAATAACTTTATGTGGGCAAACACTGCTAGTGAGATTTGGGAACAGGCCAAAACCACCTATTCTGAGCAAAGGCATTATGCCAAGATTTACCAGTTGCAAGCTGAATCCTCAACCTGTAAACAGGGAAATCATAGTTTGTCTGCCTATTATTCAGCCCTTACTTCCGTATGGAAAGAATTGGATCATTATCAGGCTATAGAGTGGAAACATAATGATGATGCTAAGGCCTACAGGAAGCTGGTTTCTCAGCAGCGTGTGTTTGTCTTCTTGTTGGGACTAAACCCTACCTATGAACCCTTGATAGTTCAGATCTTAGGAAGTAAAGAGTTGTCGTTGGTTCACGAGGTATATGCCCTTATTCAATCTGAAGAAAGTAGGCGGAGTGTAATGGTTACAACCGAGGGGGAGCAACAAGTTGCATTGGCTGCAATGAGTAATAACAACATGGGGAAGAAAAGTGACACCAAGAAGGCTGATGATAAAGACAAGTTGTTTTGTACCCATTGTCGACGCTCACGACATACATGTGACACATGTTGGGACATTCACAGGAAGCCCAAGTGGGCAATGAAGAACCAAGAACAGGGTAAAGGGCAAGGTCAGAAGTAGACGAACACAACACATAATGCAGCACATGTGGCAACCCAAGATATTCAGGTTGCCGATACTACCCGGGACCACCTTACTAATTCTAACCCCAAGGAAGATATCATGAATTCCTTCAGAGACCAATTAGAGTCATATGGTAGGGCTTTGCGACAGATGGATAGTTTAGTCACTGGTACTCCTACTTCATTTGCATCTACATCAGGTAATGCGGCTTTTGCATTCCATGTCAGTACTACCACTGGTTCCCCTTGGATCATTGGCTCAGGGGCCTCTAACCACATGACCGGTAAGCCGAACTTGTTTCAGACTTATAGCCTTTTGTCAGGAAGGGATAAAGTGAGGCTTGCAGATGGATCATTCTCCACCATTGCAGGCCAATGATCAATATCTCTTCCCCATGGCCTTAACCTGAATTGTGTATTGTGTGTCCCTCAACTTCCTACAAATTTGCTTTCAATCAGTAGTATCACAAACTCTTTAATCTATAGTGTAACCTTTTTTCCTGGTTCATGTGTTTTTCAGGATCTAACTTCTAGGAGGACAATTGGTAGAGGGAGCCTAGTGGATGGTCTCTACATTCTCGACAACAAAGCTGGTCTCTCGGTATCATCCTCAGAGTCATATAGTCAATCAAATAAGAGTCAAATATTTTTGTGCCATAGTCGGTTAGGTCACGTTTCTTTTGAAATAGTAAAGTCTTTGTTTCCAGTCTTATTTAAGTCATGTTCAGTGTCAGAGTTCCAGTGTCAAACGTGTCAGTKGAGCAAACAATGTAGAACAACTTTTCACTCAAATAATAAAAGATCAAGTTTTCCTTTCCATGTTGTGTATTCGATGTATGGGGGGGCCTACTACTATAATCTTTGAGGGCGGATATAAGTACTTTATTACATTGATCGATGACTTCTCTTGCTATACATGGGTATTCCCTATGCATAGTAGAGACGAAGTTCCAAAGATTGTGAAAGACTTCCAGTGGATGGTGTTTACGTAATTCCATGTTGAAATACAGATCTTCCAATCAGACAATGCAAAAGAATATTTCCAGGGTGAGCTCAATGAGTTTTTTGCCTCCCACGGATCTATTCATAGGAGTTCATGCACAAGAACACCACAACAAAATGGTGTTGTAGAAAGAAAAAACAGACACCTCC